TGTGTGTGTGTGTGTGTGTGTGTGTGTGTGTGTGTGTGTGTGTGTGTGTGTGTGTGTGTGTGACGAGGTAAGGTGGGAGTACTGGCGGGACTCAACATGGCAGGCTTGGCTCTGCGGTGGGGTGACATCGACCTCGAGCAGCGGGGCTCCTGGGCAGCGTGAATGTCACTCGCAGTTCCAACTTTGCACGAATGGCAGGCCCTACCTGCGTTTGAACGCAGGTGGGGGCTGCCATTCGCACGAAGTTGGACGGCTGGGCTGGCATTTGCACGAAGTTGAAAAGTGCGAATGGCATTCATGCAGCCCTTTGTGGCTGAACAATCCCAGCCACCGATCTCTGCATCAGCAGCCGGGATCGATCGCTCGTCCCGAAAGGGCTCCACTGGGCCTTTAATTTTTTTTTTGTATTATTTATAAAGCCCAGGGTGTTGTAGAGGCCAAGGACTAGACCCACGGTGATCGCTGGCAGCGCCAACCAATGGTTAAGGGCCCACACGTTTTTTTTGTGCCTATTCTACACTGCGGGCTACATTGGGAGGATGCCCCAACTGATTCAGGTCCTCCCGATCCCCCGCATCATATTCCGCTGGGGCCGCCCGGTGGCCAACTGGGGGACACAACAGCCGGGTGACCCGAGACCCCCCCCTGGGCAATGACCAGGTGACCGGGCACCAAGGTGACCAACGTATCTTATTTGCCATTTCAATTCGACTCCCAACTTCACAGCTGGACTGCTAGCGCCAAGACAGGGGTGAGGTGGCCGAGGGAAGAGGAAGTGTGACTGACAGAAACAAAGCACATAGCAAGAAGCAGGTCTACATGAGATAGCCACAACACGTCCAGGGCAGGTAAAGCATCAGCCAAGGTGCCTTAGTGCCTTGGACACGACCCACCCAGATGGGTATAGCATGGAGGGAGTCTTTTCAGGAAGGCTAAGGAAGAACACTAAGGCATTGGCTCGTGTCCAAGGTGGAGAATCAAATGCTCAAGCCGAAAAGCAAAATGTGGACTGTGGATCATCTGATGCTGAAGACAGCGCAGGTTTAGCTCATCCTAAGGTGCGCCAGTCCTTGGATCGACATAGATTTTTTGGCAGTCTACATCCACAGACTGAGAGGGAAAGCTCGGGCCGTTCCTTTTTTACGAACGTCACTTTCAGGGGCCCAGTTATCGAAAGAGGGAGGCTTGATCTTAAGAATGTGATTGACTAATTTGACTGACAATCAATCGTTACTAGGGAAGTAATCAATGCTGTAAGGGGTCGTAATGTGGAGAAGCGTCAAGAGTGGGCATATCATTTATCTTCTGGCTTGCTGGTCGAAATAGGAACCGGGACTGATGCTCTCCAGAGTGGACATTGAGCAGGGACAATAAGGTCTTGATTTCATCCAAAAAAAGAAAGAAAGAAAAGAAGGTTACAAAAAGCTAAAACAACGTAGATTACGCAACGAGAGGAAGGATGGAATGCATAACATCGTATATTTTTGACTTGCTGGTGGCTGAGGAACTGAACCGACGCGCCCCAGAACTACGTAGATTTTTGGACGGCAACCGGTACGTCCTGCCAGACGGAATCGCCGTTTCGACAGAACCCTCTGCACTCGGAAGGCCCATTTAAATGGCCGGTCGAGCCGTTTTTAGGCCCAAGAAAGGGCTCCCGTCCGTTTGAACGGCCCGTCTGGTAACCTCTCGGACAGCGGCTGGGGGTCTACATAGCCCCAGGATAGAAATGGAGCATCAGCCATAAGGCTGCAGTTACAAAACACCAACAACAACAGAAATCAGTGCGCAACTTTGCAGACTGGAAAATATAAGACAAAAGTTTGACCTTGACGGTTGGATTGGCACTTCAGAACAACAAGCTCAGAATTTCCCGGCGCCCTCTTCTTCTTGAACTGACCCTTCCCCCCCCTCTCCCATGCCGCATTTGGCAAAATTCTGCAATTTACTTCGTTTCTTTTCATGACTGGCGGAAACAAAAGACTTTTTCACTCTTCAGCAGCCTCACTCAGTTGGTAGAGCACGTAAGTGGCATTCAGAAGGTCGCGGGTTGGATTCCCACATCGTTCACTCGATCCACGCAAACCCCTGCTGCATTTGGCAAAATTCTGCAATTTACTTCGTTTCTTTTCATGACTGGCGGAAACAAAAGACTTTTTCACTCTTCAGCAGCCTCACTCAGTTGGTAGAGCACGTAAGTGGCATTCAGAAGGTCGCGGGTTGGATTCCCACATCGTTCACTCGATCCACGCAAACCCCTGTGGCATGCCTCGGGTTCACCAGCTGAGATAGTTGGCTTGCCCCTCCATGGTTGGTTAGGAGGTGTCTTGAATCCGGCTTTTGGCTCGCGCCAGGCGTTAGGGATTCACAGCGGTGCTTAGGCACGGGTGGAGGTTGGTGTCGACCTAGGCTACCGGAGTGGCCCGGGGCCACTTGCCCGACCGGGCCAAAAACAAATGAAAATAAAATGATTTTTCAATTTTATTTTTTATTTACAATTTGGTAAAGAATTTCGATATGACCCTCAGGCAAAAGTTGTTTCGTTTATTTTAATGCATAACATCGTTTTTTTTTTTTCGGAATTTTCGGTTCTTTTTTTTTTTTTTACTGGGACCTTCCCTGGTTCTTGCACGGCCGAGCCGCCTGGGAAAACAGGGTGAGCCGGGCGGCCCGGCTGGTAGCCTAGGTGTCAACCCATGCACATGATAACAAAGAAAAGTAGTCTTGAATCCGCCTTTCGGCTTGCCCTCCATGGTTGGCCTACTTTCGAGTTCTCACCTCTGCACTGAAACCATGAATGACGAGAGGTCTCGTAATGTTGAAGATGAGAATCGATCCTGTCAAGCATGCATGCACATGATAAAAAGAAGAGTCGGCCACGACCAAACAGGCAAACGAGTAGTATCTTATCATCAATGCCATCCTCGGCAGCAGACTTTGCATCGTCATTACCATACTTAAAAACCACCAGTTCACCCAAGCCACATTTGGTATCTTGCCGGTAGAAAAGGAACGATACTGAAAGTCTGAAACTTTGAAACTTCTCCGCACTGGACCCAAGGGGGCAACAGGGGGGGCCACACAAAATTGCAAGCACCCCAACTTTGGCGATTTTTAATTCTAATTTCTGGCTACGAAACGAAAAATCAAGGATGTTGCTTATGTCGCTGCTCATCAGGGGGAGAAATTAGAAGATAAACAAAAATGGTTTGGCCAATTGTAAAGATGTTTGCGAATTATGTGCCAAATCGAATTCATATTTCAACCAAAGCCGGTGAGACCCGGTAGGAGTGAAGTTTCTACATCCACGTAACCACCTCAACGAGTATATCTTGTGTCTAAAGCGTTAGTAAGATCAGATTTCGAAACTGGGAAGTTCCGCTAACACGCCTCGTTCGACACCAGAGTTGACTCAAGGCAGGCTAGCCAAGCTATATATACGTTGGATGGGAGCAGAGATTCTCTAATAAGCCCAGGGTTTTTTTTTTTTTTTTTTTTCAGTTCGTAGTTTTAGGCTCAGGTGAACTGGTGATTTAACGACGGGAAGTATGTGGGCAAATCCAGACCCTTCTTCTTTCCCTGTACTTTTGCTTCTTGTTTCACCACTCTGAGGCAGTCTATGCACTGTCTGCAATCACACAGAGGACCAGCCGACTGCTGTTAAGCTTCATCTGTTGACACAGAGCATCTAGCGATCCTGGTGAGAGTGCATACAAGGAAGAAACAAACCAACAAGAAGCGAACGGAGAAGATTGACAGAGCAGATTGTATATTCCTATATTGTAGTGGAATATCCATTCTCATTTTGCACATTTGGTGAGTAGTGGAGTGAGGCCCGTACTCTTTGAACCTTCTCCTTTTATCTCCTGTCCGCTCATGCTCGTAGGCATTCGATATGTGTGCACAAGTTATATATTGTCACATAACTATGAACTAAGAAGCGCACTTTTCAAAACAAACGGTAAAGATTGAAAAAAAGAAACAAAGATGAGGGCCACACTGAAACTATTCATTTTTTCCATTCTTCGTTTAACTCCCCCTTCCCTGTGCCTCTCATGTACAAGGCTCGCCACGTTGATGAAGTTGAGTGCGAGCTGCCCGCATCCTTGTGTGCCATAATGGCCCACTTGTACGCTGTGAGAAAGAGGCAGAGTAACAGGGGAGGTGATAAACACAAGGGAGAGAGATGAAGAGAAGAGACAAAGAACGAAAAAGGGAAAGTAAGGATAAGAAAGCCTCAAGAATGAGTCTGTACTTGACCATAGAGAGGACACACATTGTAAGGATGAGGTGGATGGCCACATGGAAGACCTAGCTGAGCATTCTCAACACAACAATTGCCACGACGGCTGGCATTGAGCATGCCTAACATACACTCCCGGCAAATGGCATGTCGATTGCGGGCCAAAATGAAGGAAGAACGCTCACCACAAAAGACCATGCATTCAGTATACCACCCATGGCTGCAAAATGGACATATAGTGTCTGGATGCAGAGGGTGCCTGCAGTCAGGAACGGAGGGACAGTCCCATACACACATAGATGCAGAAACCATGTCATTATAGTGTTTGTGACAGAGACGATGGTGGCTACAGCCGAGTGTAACAGTGTCTGTAGCAGTGCAAAGGAGAAGGTTGCAGAGTATTGGTAGATTGTCGTGCTGCAGCACGAGGCTAGAGGAATGATCTTCGACATAAAAGAGATTGCGGACAGTTTGGTGTGGTAAGAAAACAACATCATCATGTAGGGAATCAGTAACATCAGTCATGGCATGGACCATGATCCCGTTGTCCCACAACTCCCAGCGGTCAGAGGTACGTACAATGGCCAGGTCCATGCACAATGCAGGCAGAGATGTGGGATGGAGGATTAAACCACTCACCTGATCGAGCATTGCGTAGCTCAAGTTGGCGGCCCCTCATTGCTACTTGTAGGACGGCAACGGTAAAGCCTCTTTCCCTGGTATAATTACAATCCTCTGGCTGTAGGCGGGGGAGGTTAGTATCAAGCTGAAAGGGATTGCAAGGAAGTCTGATGGTGTATAAAACGGGCAGTTGAGAATGTGAAGACATATATTAGCTTCAGTCAGACCACAGAGATTGGTGAGGATCTCAGGCTGGTGTGCCAGATACTGGCCAACAATTTGCAGATCACCCAGTTGGTGTTGCAATTCCAAAATGTATTGGGTTGCTTGCTGGTCAGTCATTTGCAGATCACCCATGTGGTCTGTGCGTGGTGGGGCGCAATTTTGTGGTACATCCAAACGATGCTGGTCAGCCATTTGCAGATCCCCCATATGGTCTACGCCTTGTGGGGTTAACTGCAATCTGGGCAGATCATGTTCCAATCCCTCCACCTTTGGGGCCACATCCTGAGTAGGGACTGTCCCTGGAATCGAGAGTGTACTCTGGGCAGGGACCACATCCTGTTGTACAGGTGAGTCATGAATATCTAAAGCTGAACTTGCGGCTGAAGGGCATAAAGCATGGTGTTGTCACTTCCTGCAGGCAGCTGGACTCTCTACAGGAGGCATAGGAGCGGATATTGCCGTTTGGATAAGAGGAACTGCAATAACCTGTGGAGCAGGCACAAATAGAATTGGGGCAGACAAAGAAACAGGCTGTTGATCCCCGGACAAATGGCAATATCGCGCATGTCCTCGATGATACACAACAAAAGCAGTAGTGGTGTTGCAAACAGAAGATGAACATGTCCTGGAGTTTTTTTGCAAGCGAGACCGTGGAGATGGGGATGGCGAGGAGAAATGCAGCCGTCTACGACCAAGCACAGAAAGAGATGAAAGGGGGTGGATAGCCCAAGATTTTGAAATGAAGCACGTGACTGTCGGAGAGACTGTGATGTTCTTTGCATTGGACATGCAGCAGAGGAAGTTGTAGCAGCACAAAGGAGAGTACACGGCATTCCAGCAGTAGAAACTGCAGCAGCGGAAGCCGCAGCAGTGGAAGCCTCAAACATGGAGGCCGCAGCAGTGGAAGCCGCAGTCGTCGAGGCCATAGCAGTGGAAACCGCAGCGGTGGAAACTGCAGTAGCAGAAACTGTCGGAGTGAATATCGGAGCTGTAGAAATTGCAGCGGTGGAAACAGTAGCAGTGGAAACTGCAGCTGTGGAAACCGCGCCAGTGGAAACTGCTGCAGTGGAAACCGTAGTAGTGGAAACCTCAACAGCAGCAGATGAGCAAGCAGGAGCAAGACAAAAGCAACGTGGACGCAAGGAAGAAAGTCAATGATGCAGGGACCATCGCAGCATGCGTCAGAACCACTGAGAGGGACGCGTCACATGCGTAGGATAGCGACGTTGGTGGGAGCGCAAGTTGCAGGTTCACCCCTTAGCAAGGGTTGGTTGGGAATGCCCATGAGAAAACATGCGATGAGTAAGTGTTGTTGCCGCAGTTTGAAAGTCCTTCCAATTGTTATAGATTTGTTCAAATATGGTAAATTATCCAGTGAACACACCCACCGGTTGATGGGAACGGATGTTGGAGGTCACACTTGGATGACAAATGACAGGGAAATCCCAAGCAGCCGCTTTATCAAACACGCTCATGCGAAGCAAGCCATCAGAATGGACCTGGCATTTGTTCCCATTGGAATACCGATAATTTCCTTCCGAAGTGTGCCATCTCTAGTATAATGAGAAGTGTGTCATCTCTAGTGTACAGAAAAGTATTTTGTACAACAAAATGAAAATGTTGGAGAATTTGAGAAACAGAAAAGGTGTCCGGGCCCTAATCGGTTGTCCATTGGCCACAACGAGGTCCCCAAATAACCATGCTCAGGGCACAGCAGCACGAACACATGCAAGTATGCCAAAAGGCATAAGCATGGGCTTCATCAACAACTTTTGCCACGTTATTCAGAATGCGGTCATGAGGGAGGTTGGTGTACATTGTGGTAAAATCAACAGTGCGAGAAGAGATCTTTTATGTCGAAGATAATTCCTCTGGCCCTGTGCTGCAACACGACAATGTACCGACACTCTGCGACCTTCTCCTTTGCACTGCTACAGCCACTGTTACACTCGGCTGTAACCGTCATCGTCTCCGTCACAATCACTACAATGACATGGTTTCTGCATCTATGTGTAGAGGACTGTCCCTTTGTTCCTGACTGCAGGCACCCTCCGCATCCGGACACTATTACGTCCATTTTGCGGCCATGGGCGCTATATTGAATGCATGGTCTTTTGTGGTGAGCGTTCTTCCAGAGGTTCTATATATCTCAGGCCGTACTGACACTAGGAATATTTTACATATTTATGGATGTAATTGCGGTCATATGCACATCCACATCCGGTCGTAAATGCAGTCAGACACAGTTAAGATAGAGCTAGAGTGAATACGCCCTCAGGGATGCTGGATGTGATTTCCAATGTTGTCCGGCGAGAACTGCCTCGTGAGCCATACGCAGAAAGGTGGTAATGGACAAGAAACCTAGAGCCGTGACAGTGTTTCATCGGACTTTAACCAACTCATCAGGAGGCTGAACCCCTGACAGTCTGCAGAGTAACCTAGCAGATGCTACAAGTGGAAACAAAAAACGCCACCAAATACCGAAAAGACGGCAGTAATTTACAATTTGATGGAAATGTTGTTGTTTTAATCAATAATGGTTTGCCTATTGGGACGAGAATTTTAGGTTGTGTCACACATGGACTACGAAAAAAACATTATTTGAATAGTCTCAATGACAACTTATGTAATTTAAATTAAATAAAAAAGGAAGATTTTCAAACATGCAACTAGATGACCTGTTGCGGCTTCGGTCGCAAAAGCAAATGCGTCAGGTGATGCACGACGGGGGGGCAACCGACCGATGGAAACTCTCTCTCTCTCTCTCTCTCTCTCTCTCTCTCTCTCTCTCTCTCTCTCTCTCTCACACACACACACACACACAC